CTCTCTCTTTAACCAGAGAAGAACCGTTAAAGTGAGGATCACGGAGCAAGGCATGCAAGCAGTAAGATAGTAGTGAGAGGAGGGTCCCGGCATGCTAAGGAGTGGCGGCCTACCGAGGCGTGAATATTTTCGACAATCTGACGCTGTGGCCGAAGTCTTAGCGATGGTTAGACCACCAAAGATTTGCTTGATTGTTGGAGACATAGTGGCTTGGGTGATCACGACGCAATAATGATAGAAGAGAGAGAGAGAGAGAGGCATTCATTGGAGACTATCTCTAAACCACCACAGCTTTCCTGTTCCCCATGTGCATAATGTGACCATGAATGGCTGTGTGCCTTCCCTCCTTTCTACCCAAGTCATCCAGTGAATGCCAAACTAGCAGCCAACCGAGCCTGCCTGCCTGCCTGCCTGCCCACCGTGGGTGGAAAGCTGCTCCTGGCAAACACAAAGGGAACAGAGCTCCCCGCCGAGTCCTCACAATGCCTATGTAGCTTCCGCAGGCTGCATGAGTCGCTGACAGACACACTTACTCTATACTCGCACTCGCAAGATGCATTTACACTCATGTAGGGCCACAAACATGTCAGCGAGAACGCATCAACCCACTGAGGAAATATTTAGAGCACGATTATGCCGAGGCCCTGTAAGAGACGATGAAATCAACCTCCATCATCCAACCTCCATGTTCTCTCTCTTGCCATCTGTGTGAAGCATTTCTTGGCAGATTGGAGTCCAGACAATCACAGTTGTCAGTGGGTGAAAGTGATCTCACGTTGCCAAGTGGCTGAACCAGTGTATCTGAAACACACCGACTGTATATGGACTGTTTGTATGAATGCTTCAATCAAGCTTACACTCGAGTCCACTCCAGAGCGGAAAGGCCAAAGAAAAGGACATTTTGTGTCATTTCAAACAGAAGCAATAGAGGATGAATAGAATTCAACATGTTTTCATGTATCAGTCTGATTCTACTTAGTATCCTGGTAAAAACCCAAGTCAAACATATGTCCTCATGCAAATCAAAAGATTACAAATGCTCCTTGACCAGGATGAAAACTCTGTGAAGACCATATTTTACCTCCAAAAGACAATACCAGTTTTTACTATTTAAAAGAAAAAGAGGATTTCAGGATGCAGCATTGAGCTTAGATGTAATTACTTCTTAAAATGAACAGTAGAGCTCAAACAATTAGTTAATCAATCGATTAGGTAATCAACAGAAAATTAATCTCCAACTATTTTGCTGATCAGTTAATGATTTCAGTAATTTTTTTCAAACAAAAATGCCAAACACTTGCTGCTTTACTGTGTCAGACACTAAAGTGAATACTATATCTTTGGGTTTTGTACTGTTGGTCGGACAAAACAGCACACTTAAGGACGTCCTCATACAGATAAAAAAGGTATCAATTGATTTATCCAGGAAATGTCAGTTCCATGGACAGTTTGGAGCTTAACATGGTTCCTCGTAAGTGTCAAGCTGCTCAGACTCCTGATGAGCAGCAGTCTGTTTACTGTTAGGACTGTTATGTACTCATATGAACATAGCATTAAATGTGCTACTAATCACAAGTCTGTCCTCCTGGAAACCAAACGCAGAGAGCAGCATTCCTCCTATACGCAAGACAAGATGTCCAATTGCAATCATCTGAAACACGTAAACAATCAGAAAAAGTCAAGTTTTAATCTAGCTGCAGCTCATTCAATAGTCGGTGCCTGCTGACAGATTGGGGGACATGAATCATTGAGCAGTGGCTCTCTGAAAAGACAGCATGGACTTGCCTGTCACTTGCACAGGCTGATTTTGTAGACGCATGAATCACTCCACTAAGTGCTAAACAACGTTTCCATGAGAGAACAATTAATTTGTTCTCTCAGTCCCCTTGGCACAAAAGCATGCCAGCACCATATTACACTTACAGACCCACTCCAACACACACACACACACACACACATATGCATATGCATTAACTCATGTCGGTCTACAGCCGCCTCGTACAGTCACACAAACTCTGTGTCTTTCAAAGCGTTTTACCTATGTGCAAGTCAAACCTCCTCATAATGGGCTATGCTTCACAAACCAAGGGAAAAGAGATGTTAGTCCCTCTCCATCTAAAAACACAAGAGCCCTGCCGGTGCTTCAGTGTGTCAGCCAGTGATTCACAGCCGTTTGGAGTGGGTGGGAGTAGAGAGGAGAAGAAGAAAGCGGGAAAACGTTTGCCGCTGCTCGCTGGGACTGAGAGTGTGAGGGCGTGGGTGGGCAGAGTGGCTGAACGGGCAAAGCAGGCACCTGGGATGAGCTCAGTAGGCGTGAGGATGAGAAGGGAGGGGAGGAGAGGGATGAGGGAGTGAACCCTAAATGGCAAAATGGTTCATTGTGCGTGGGAGTTGACGGTGAGCACATACACGTGTATGTGTATGTGCTTGTGCAGTGTGATTGTGGACATGTCACTCTGCAATCCGGTCTGGAATGCAGGAGGAGATGTAAAAATGGACTGTCGGCTCTCCCTACATTGATGAGCTAGTGCTGCGCTCTCATAAATGATCACAGATGCAGTCTGGTGGCGTGGCTTCCTTTCTCTTGTAGCACAGAAGACATTAGGGGACATGTGACCTACTAAAAACAGCTGACCTGAACCCACAGGGACAATATGCATAAGAGTTCCCTGCCCAATTCATGTCCTAATTACACTGGTCATAAGCATACCTCCTCACCAGTGCGTCAGAGAAGCTACTTTTATGTGGCCATAAAGTGAATCAGTAATGAGAAAGTTGCGTCTATTTTAACGTGAGTACTCTTTGTTTTCAACCCGAGCATAACTCAAGTGTTTTTTTTATGTCTTCACCCCTCTAAAGGGCCCAATTACATTTTTTTTTCTTAACAAGGATGTAATTCTGTAAAGTTGGATGTTACAGCCAAACATTGTGATGAAATCTTTCCTGGAAAGATTTTGCTGTAAGGTTCAATTATGTTGTCAGTCGTTGCACGTTTTCCACGTATTTTTAGCCAAACTCATATAGTAAAGAAAGCACTGTCTGTCAAAGTGATTTCAAAGTGCTATGAATTGCTTGCATGCAAGACTTAAGATGATTACACTGCTCAGATGCGTTTGGGAAACTGGGACTCTGGACTGTACAAAATATGCTGCTAGTGCATGTCTGCTGTACCAGTTGGCAGAGCGGAGACTGACTGAAATGACCCGAGGGTGCTTGGACACCGAGCTCAGTGCTCTAATTCACAGCATTTCCCTGACAGGGACAGGAGACAGCTCGAGAGGAAGAGGGAGAGTGGAGAAGATACAGTGACAGTGAAATAGAGACAAAGGCAGGGCCATGTAGGGGAGGAAGGAATGAATGCAGACAAACTGATAAGGTTTATGGGACATGGCGACAGGCGGACAGGCACAGACATGGAAAAAGAGTTCCTTTTCACCTTCAGCTTTCAACAGTGCTGAACTACTTCCCTGATGTTGTTCAGTAAACTGAGAGCCCAGCATGGGCCTTTCTATTTTCACTATCCACCTCAAGGAGAAACAATTTACTTAGCTGCACTCTATGACCTTCTCTTAAAATAGAAAAGAGATGCAGTAGCTTTTCAGAAACCACCTACGCTTACGTATTGTATTGTTCATTTAAATAAAATGTGATATCTCAAAAGAAGAGATCAAATGAGAAGTATTAAAGAGGACTGACCTTGGAAATTCACAGATGCTCTGTTTGAAAATCTCCAATTAAATCCTTTCCATATGCCACAAACAGTCTAGGTGTCTCTTTCAATATCATTAACTGCACTGATTTTAGGTTTATCATATACTGTAGCAAAGACATCAGGAAATCCAGTGT